GTTTTATGTTATCTGTGACAAGAAAGCGTTGCATCAAACCGGATTTAGAAGAGGAGTGTTTTAAAATACTTACTGCTGAATTGTACATTGCTTGCGAGCCATACCATGCCGATATCATTGCGGCCATTGCGACTATTGTAATTGGGATGACGTTCTTTCTATTGGTAAAGTAAAAAGTAATAATAATAATCTTATATGATAATAAATTATTCCTTAAAATACGCTGAAACCCACATAAATCAATTTGCTAAAAGGAAAAAAAATTTGCCTTAAAATAAAATTCAAAGTTTTTGTTACAAAATTACAGCTTAACAGGCAATTCCGACAACTATCTACAACGCGCTTTTCTATATTTCAAAAGACTATTTGAAAGATATCTCCAAATGAGGGGGTCTTATACTGTTATTCTGTTTGTCTTTTACCAAAAAGTTTTCTAAGAATTTTAAAAATATATTTTTTTCTTTTTAAAATAATAAAAACTATAAATTAAAAGAAAATTGAATTCAAAAAAGAAAAAACTATTACATTAAAAAAAGAAAGAATTAATAAACTAAGTTCCTCAAAATTGTACGAAATTAAAAAACAAACATTTTTCGTCTGAAAACATTTATGGCCGGTTTCACTAGCATTTTAAATGCAAAATATTTTTTTATTTTCTGTCAATTTCCACATAAAATTAAAAAAATTAGTATCATTTTTCACTTAAATTGCTTTCGTGAAATTGGCTGTTAAATCTAAGAATTTAATTCAACAATTTTATTGAGCTTGAGGCTGTTATTAATGAAATTTTATATGGAACAAAAAACAATTACATTTTGGTAGAAGTTATAGCTGCTATTTCGGAGATAACCACATCTCCTCATCAGACTTCTTTCACTGAGATTCGATCCAAATTATAAGCGAAAAAATAATATACAATTAAAAAAATTTTAAAAATTTAAAAATATATTTCTTTTTTAAACAATAAAATCGAGAAATTAAAATCACATTAAATTAAAAAAAAATCAAAAAAGGAAAAAAATTAAATAAGTTTCTAAAAATCTATGAAATTAAAAGTGTAGTTTTCTTTTTAAAACAATAAAATCTAAGAATTAAAAGAAAATTCAATTCAAGGAGAAAAAATAAGTTTCCAAAAAAAAATGAAATTATTTTTTTTCCTTTTAGAACAATAAAATCTAAACATTAAAACTGAACATGTAATTTAAAAAAGAAAGAAAATTTAATTTAAAAAAGAAAAACGAAAAGAAGTTCCGCTGCCCGAGGATTCGAACCGCGGATGTTTCGAATGACACTCAGTGCTTTGCCTACTTGGCTATTGTGACTGTCGGAGCAGCGCATTCCAAATGATGGACATCTCCATTTGGAACATGCTCAAGTGATTATTGGCAAAAGAGCTGTTCCTATGTTTTTTTTATTGCTCACAATTTTCTATTTTATTTAATACCCATATTGTTATTCAACATTGCACTGAATTTTTTAATTCAATTTTTGAAATTAAATTTGAGCCCTAATTTCGCAATATATCGATTTTTTCTCGTGCTTTAATTTTATTTTATTTTTGTAGCACGGTGTCATATTAGTAGAACAATTCCTTACCCTGGCTACGCGTACATCCTGATGACGTGTCTCGGAGTCTGTACTCAAATCATATTCACCCAGACGTACGAAAGATCTAAATGAAAAAATTGCAAAAATTAAGCTAGCAAACATTAGTATGTTTTTAACCAACAAGAATATACTTCATTCTATAATAAAATACCATATAAATCCATTTATTCGTAACTTTGTACATTTTGCTCAATATAAAAAAAATTTACGAACATACATACATACATACTCCGTGTGCAAGAAAATGAGTGACGCCGTAGGCAAAAAAATCGCCAAAAATCTACGGTATTTTATAGCCACTTACGTGCTATAAATCTGGATTTTTTTTTTAATTTTTTTTTAGTGTTTTGCATTTGTATGGTTTTATAGTATGACATATATTTTATAAAAAAAAAACTTATAATTACATAATAAAGAAACTTGTCGATATGCAGGTGTCGTATAGTTATGAGAAACACTATATTTTAAAACCTATGATTAAAAGGTTAATGACTAACAATATTTCAATGCATTGGAGATAGTAAATATTTAGTATACAAAGGGCGTTCCACACCAAAATGGACGGGGTTCACACTTCATGTGTTTGATTTGTTTCAAATTTTTAGGGTTGATGGACAAACATATATAATCAATAAATATGAAATTTGGGCTTGATTAATAAATTTTTAAAAACTTTACAGCAAAAAAAAAAGTTTTATAGTTTTCCAAATATCTCGAGAACGGGACGAGGAAAAAATTTGAAAAAAATCACACATACACGCATCAAAATTCTCTATGAAAAGAAATATTTTTTAATTTTTTATTTCTTGAAAAATTTTTCACATACAAATTTAAAAAAAAAAAAAATTTTTTTTTTATTGTTGGTTTGTACTAGGCTATTTTGATCAATTTGGCTTATGTGCAAGAAAAAACTTTCTTCACTTTGCTGCCCGAATTTTTTTTTTAATTTTTTTTTTGAGAAGGCATAGTTTCCAAAACTATTTTTTTAATCAATAATTCATATGTGAAAAATGTTTCAAGAAATAAAAACTAAAACAATATTTCTTTTCATAAAGAATTTTGATGGGTGTATGCGTGATTTTTTTCAAATTTTTTACTCGCCCTGTTCTAGAGATATTTGGAAAAATATTAAATCGATTAGTTTTGGTTTTTGTGCTGTAAAGTTTCAAAAAATATATTAATCAAGCTCAAATTTCAAATTTATTTATTATTTATGTTTGTCCAGCAACCCTAAAAATTTTAAACAAATCAAGCACATGAAGTGTGAACCCAGTCCATTTTGGTATGGAACGCCCCACATTCACTTGTTTGGAATAAAGCTAGTGCAATTAATCAACAAAGTTAAAATCGTTAGAAAAATTCAATTAGGAAAAAAGTATCTTTTGCAAAATCATTTAATGTCTAGGCTAAATAGGTATAAGATATGTTTGTTTGAAAGAAAGAATATCCCGCATGATTTATTGATTTCTTTGCTTTTTTTTTTGTTCAAATGCAAACAAAATATGCAGCTAAAGAAATTTGAACAAACCCCTTCTGTTTGTCTCAAAAAACGTGATTCCATACTTACAAATCATTTCGTATACAATGCGCCGCTGTTACCACATGCCGAGATGAGACCAGCGCCCCACCGCATTTGAATGGCGAACCGGAACTCAGCGCCGGATAGGCTAACAAGGCCGCCCATGGCCAGTCACTTATTTTACTCGCTTTTCCGCCGACAATCTTCTTAAATGAACGTAGAACAGCGCCACAGCCACCTGCTGAGCCGGTTGATGGATTTGGTGCGGGATTCGGTGCCGGCTGAGATGGCGCAACATTATTCGCCACAGCAGAGGGACAACAGACAGCGTAGCCATAACCACCGCAATTTCTATTCGATGCGCGTAAATATTCAACGTAATTTTGGTCGGAATATCGACTGTATATCTCACGCAGCAACGGTTCGCAACTGTTGATTTCTTCAGGGAGAAAGGAGAGTGTGAATTTTTAAATGAGAAGGCGGAGAAAGCTTTTGCTAGTCGATTATACCCACCTATGCACGCTCCTTCGCTAGAATCGGGCGCACGACAATACTGCCCTGCTCGTTGATTCACGAATTGTGGTGAAACTCCATCTGTATTGAAAATGCTTCGTAAATCCAAAGACAGAGGCTGACGCACTGTACGTGTTGGTTGCGTCTGAGCTAGAAAAGGATTGGAAGGACGATGACTCACAGTTGGCTGGTATACTGTTTGTCGCTGAGGTGTATTAGCGGCAATCGCACAACAAAACTGAAAGCAGATATGGGATTATATTTGGAAAATTCATCCTGAAGGCCAGTGCAATTTGTAGATACCTACCAAGTTGCCACCACACACGCGCTGTGCAGCTGCCACATATTGTTGATTACGCGCACGATGAGCATTGACCACTTGCGGACAAGTGTTGAATTGTGTACAAATGCCATAGTAATTCTCCGGAGTTATGCAATTAGATTGAGCTGTGGAATAGAATATTGAAACTTAAATTCTATAGGTGACCAAGGAAAATACTATTCACAATAGTTGCTCTACTCTATTTTCGGCACCAATTTTTGGGGGATTTTTTTTTTTAAGATAAAAAAGCGTTTAATTATTATTTTTTTTTATTACAAAATGTTTACTTAGCGCTTAAAAAATCACTATTTATAAGTAATTTTTCTGAGGAAGGAGCCTTTTTTTTACTGAACGCTTTCAAGTATATATTTTTACGGATGGCTCAAAAATGGATTGTGGCGTAGGGAGCGGGCAGTTTTTCAACTGACCTCCAAATCGAAGAGTCTATTCGACTACCGAATTCGGGCAGTGTTCTTCAGGTCAGGAGGTCTTTGCCATCAAAGAGGCGTGCATAATAATTTTAACCTCAAAGCTAGTCGGGACCAGCATTGCTATTTTCTCGGATAGCCAGGCAGCAATCAAGGCACTTGGCTCTGTAAGCATCACTTCCAGTAGAATAAAACAGTGCAGATAGAACATTATGGCCTTAGATGATAGGCATGTCATTGCACTGATCTGGGTGTCGGAGCACAGCAGAATTCATGTCAATGAGATGGCCGACGAACTAGCCAGGAACGGGTTAGCTCTGCATGTCTCAGAGGCACACGAGGTTCTTGTTCCTCAAAAGCTGCATCTCTCAGCACTGGAAAAAGGTGGCTTACACATAGTAGGTGAGAAGGCCTAGAACCTTGTAGGGTCTGCAGGAGCCTGCGGCCCACCTACTATGCAAAACGCACTGGATTTCTCATCAAAATCAACAGGAGGGATTTATCTCGACTAACTGCCGTTTACACAGGGCACTGGGCCGTGGAAATCCATGCTGCATGACTAGGACTGGAACACAACACTTCTTGTCGTAGCTGTTATTCACCGTATGCAGAAAAAACGATGGAGCATCTGCTCCGTAACTGCCCAGCAATATGCTTTCCAAGTACACATTTTTCCCATAAACATATTTTCAATGCTTTAATCAAAAAATTATTAAAAATCAATGCGATTTTTAGCCAATGGAAATTTGTCCTTTTGAACTAAAATTTTATGGGCTATAAAACTGCGTACCCAGTTTAAAAGACTCGAAATTTTATGAAGAGTTGTTGAATTTTTCTAAATGTTGTTTCAAACTTCGACTATTGAATATTTTTGTAATATATTGGGTCTTATGAATAAAAAATAAGCAATTGTTTTTTTTTTGAATTTCAGATCTTTTATTCAATTTGTTCAAAGAAATTTAAGTAAAATGTATGAAATTTTAAGAAAAAGCAATTGCTTTTTTTTTATTCATAAGGCCTATTAACAAAAAATTGTTAAATTGAAAAAAATGTTCTAATTAAAAAAATTAACAAGCGGAAATTTATTTTAGTCACTGTTTATCGGCAAGGGTTTCTATACATTTTTCTATTAAAATATACCGAGCCCTAACCGCCAAAATAACGTAAGCGACATTTTTTTTCAAAAAGAGAATTTTTAAAAAAAATTCGTAACATTATTTTGGCGGTTAGGGCCCGATACATACATGTACCTGCATAAATTTGATACATACCGACTGACATAACTCGATAGTATTATCGAAAAAAATATCGATATAAATGACTACACAAACAACGATAAAATATTTCAAAAACGAAGCGTGTAAACGCAATTGATTCTCCTTCTACATGTCCATTTTGCACACTTTTTTACGAAGCTAATACAGCCATAGGAGTATCATTGAAAGCTGCTCAATAAAAAATTAGCGTGTATAGAGGGATTTACAGATCCCATTGCAAGCAACAGTGGTGAAACCCCTGCTTACCACAAAATAAATACAAAAAAAAAAGTCAGCAGTCGCGGCTGGAAATGTAGATGACGATCAATGCAATGTGATTTTTACAGAGGAGTCTGCCTTTTGTATGCCAAACACTATTAAGCGTGACTGTTCAACTGAAGTTAGTAAGCTGCTTCAGCGATTTGGTCAACATCCAGGGAAAGCTGATGTTTGGGATATTTCACCAAATCAATGACTAACTGAATAACTAGTAATTTTAATGAATAATTTGGATTCCGTCTTCATGAGCACGGTCTAATCCCGTGCCATATGCCATCAACGGATAAGTATTTGGCTAAGATAGCCATGCATAAAACAACGATCCAAAAATTCGATGTCTCTTGTGTAGCAATTTGAAACCGTAAAACTGCATTGGCACTCAGAGCTAACAAATGCGAATTCCATTGAAAATTTGTGGCTAGCAATGAAACTGAAACTATATAATTGGAAAAAAAAATATGATCCATAAATCACATAAAACTAAACCTACGGTGACCATTCGAACCGATTTTGGCGGGAGAAAAATTCCCCCCTGAATATTTTTTAAAAGTTGGGACGTACAAATGTTCCGAATTTTCATATTTGTACCTTATATAGCCCGATTTTCAGTGTTTTCTTTATTCATTTAACAAAAGTCTCCCCTGAACTCTGGCCCAAAAACCATTTTTTGGACAAACGTTGTTAAGCCAACACAATCAAGCGCAGCTATTGCAGTGCTATTTAAACTTGATCATGTGATTGTTGGTTTTTGTTAATAATTCTATTTTTATAAAGTTTAACTTTTAGGTGTGCTCGTCCTTAAGTTATTTGTTTTTGTTATAGAATGGCCTGATAACAATTATATTCATCAATTTTTATTGAGCTTGAGGCTCAAATATCTATCACTTCTACCATTCTTGCAAACTATTGTTGCTTTTCCACAAAAAATTTTTCATTAAAAACGGCCTCAAGCTCAATAAAAATTATTGAATATAGATATCCGACTTTAAAACCATTAAAAACGAGATTACTTTTTGCCCAAGCCAATATTTATCAAAGCTGACAAAATAAAGCACTTTAAGGCACAAACTCGTTGAAAAAGCCAGCATTAGATTTTCATAAAGCAGAAAATTTGACCATTAAAGTCTTTGTCTTAAATCCATGTCACAATGATGTGCCTATAATCGACTTTTTTCTTCCAGTCATTATATGTATATAAGTATGTTTTGCTTTATGAATATATTTTCCGGCCAGATCGGCCATCTCTTTGGAATTTCATTTGCAAACGTGTTAACAAATTTGTCAACCTTCCAACATGCCATTTTCTTAAGTCTCATCTGCATTTGCATACATGAAGAGTATTCATATATTTACATACATTAGGGTGTGTCACCAAAAAAAGGTGCTCTTTTTCGGATGGAATTATAAAATTCTTTATATTTTAAGACTTTTGCCAAAATATTTCGACATAAATATTATGATTTATGTGAGTTAGACCGATTTGAAAATTGCTCGAAAAATATCATTATTTTGATACCGTTGTTAGAATTTCAAAAAAAATGCAAACCTTTTAAGCTTTAACTTTTCTATTATCCGAGGTAATTTTTTGGAATAAAAAATATTTTTCCAAACTAATGTTATTTATAATAAACTCGCTTTTTGGAAGCAATTTCAATTAATTCCAGCTCACGTAAATCTTAATTTTTTTCCGAAATATGTTGGTGAAAGTCTTAAAATATATATTAGTTATATTTCCAATGGAAAAACACTACTAATTTTTTTGTATGGAGAGTGTTGCACCCTAATATACATACATATGTATACTCAACAGGTAGATAAAAAAAAATACGTATATTTTAGTTTTGACCTGACTATTATTTCTGCTGTGCATACATACATATGTAGATATATTTAAATAGAGGCGCACATTTTTTCGCTTAAATATAACATAAAAAGTTTAGATTTGCATACGCAGAATTAGTAAATTGTGCCAACAGAAAAAATTTTAATTTTTTTTATCCTTTTTAGTGATTCACAACAAATATTTGCTTGGTATTGGTGTTCATACCTTCAATGGAATTTGTTAAAACTAAGCAGAAAATCACTAAAACGTAAATTTTTTTCATTTTTTCACTTTTTTATTTACACTGGATGCATAGAATATTTAATTTCCTTTTTTCTGATAAACCGCAAATAAAATTTGTTTTTCTTTTATCAAACCCTTCAAAATGGCACATTCATTTAATAGAAACTTCTATTTTATTTTATTAGTATCCAAAATTGTAGCACCAAAAATTCATAAAAAATATAGAAGACTTTGAATGCTTTCTAAATCGAAAGATTGTACGAAAATTTCGCTTTTTAAATCGTATTTATTTTTTTAATTCACAACATTTACTACGCGCCCGTGCTAAACCATTTTCTTTACGCGGCCGCATCGAATTTGAAACTGTTACCAAAAATAACAATCAAAGCCGTGTACAGCGTTCGATCAGCGTTCTACTACCATTACCTTGAGAGGCTGTGCCATCATTTTTCTCTTCGTGTTTCAAAAAAAAACACAAAATCTTAGCCGGTTTTTAGACTGTATGCTGAGTATGTGCATATGTAATTAGCCAGAGATATGGCGCTGCGGGTGTTTCCCGAAAGCAACTTACTTACGAAGTTATGCATTGTCATACTACTTTAGGCAGTGTGTCTCTCTCTCTTCCGTTATGATTAGTAAATGGTTGACATTGAATAAATGGTTGACTTCAACAGAATTCAGCTAGAGCGGAGGTCTCGTTTTTAAATAATTCAATAGACTAGTCTAGTCTAGTCTAGTAGTAGTATATTTCTGGGTATTTTGCATATCCGTCTCGTACGCAGAATATTTATGAGCGTATTATAATTATGGGCTGCTCAAGCGTCAAGTGGTAAGCGCAAAATGCTGAATTTCTCGTTGTTTTCTATTAAGACATTTTTTTGGAAAGCAATTATTTATTTTAAAATATAACTACAATAGTGAAAGGACTGTCTTTACACGGTTGCCAACTTTTATATTTTCTTAAATGTTGTCAATGTTATACCATTTTTCCCACGGTATTCTGAATTACTTTGTTCGCTCCCCCAATTACGATCGCGACTTACCCCATTCCCACGAGCACGTTCTTAATTCGTTTCGACAGTTCTCTGTCTCTGTCTCGGTCTCTGTTTTGTTTTGGTTTCTCTTCGCTGCAAAATTGGTGCAAAATGTAGGTTCTTGCTAAAAATTTATAAGTTACCGTATTAAACTAGGGATATACATTTTTGTAAAATGTGTTATCTGCAATGTGAACTTGTTTGGTATTTTTGTAAAGACAATTTATACACTAAAAAAAAATAAACAGACATTTCCCTAAAAAATTAGTTATATGTCGCCAGGAAGCCACTAAAGTCGACAAATTTTATACTAAGAA